GAGAGAGAGAGAGAGAGAGAGAGAGAGAGAGAGAGAGAGAGAGAGAGAGGAGGGTTGGGGAAAGTCGGCAGCAGCCGGGGAGGTTAAAGGCTCGGGCAGCTGTTTCGCCTTTTTCTCCTTTTTTTTTTTGTTTGGTGTGTTGTCATGTTCTCTATACACAACTTCGGCCATGTGGCACAATAGGACTGTTCACCGACTCATCGGGGGATTGACTGGTTGGGTGGAGGAGGGGGAGGCGGGGTTAGTGGGAAGTCAAGAGGGGGAGGGAGGGAGACAGGCAGACACACACACACACACACAGAGAGAGAGAGAGAGGCAACGCGCTACTTCGTTTCTTCTTTGGCTTTTGCCCTCCAGGAAATGTTGCAAGATGAACGGCCATCATTATGGCTCCCATGTCAGTGCTACTCCTGACAAGTCCCCCACGCGAAGAGCAACTGCCAAGCAAAACCTGCGTAACAGCAGTGGCACTCCTGTGGTCGGAGGCGACTTCCAACAACTTCGCCGGGCCAATCATCAATGACATCATCGGAGCCCACCAAACTGAGACGCACCCACACGCGCATGCACTTGCACACACAGCCTCCTAACTGAACAAGTAAGCGTGGGGCATACATGCAAGATCGCTTGATCACAAACGTATCCAGGGAACACAGCAAGCAAAGTCTGAATCGGAATCTTTACCGAAAACGGTCGACGGGACAACGGACAGGATTTTCTCAGGAGCGCTCAAGAGTTCTTTCACAGCACAAAAAAAACAAAACGATGCTGCAAAGGTAACGGCTTGCGAAACGAAAGACTCACAGAAAGTGAAAAAAACGCTTCGGTGGTATTCCCTCCTATTTTCTTGCATGCAGATTTCAGTCTGCTCTCAGGCTCTTCTTTTTCTTATTGTGAAAGAAGCGGCATATGATAGGGCGGTTCGTTATGCTTTTTCCTTCTTTTGTGCGTTTTCCTTTTCTGTTTTTGCGGGCGAAGCCGCAACGGGTCATCTAGTTGACATTTGTTTCTTCAAATGTTTGTCTCATATTATGAACAAATTTATAGAGCGGACGGAACACCAGATGGAAGGAAAGGCTTACCGAAACTTTTTGTTTATTTTGTCTGCTCTCTATAGTGTTTGTACAAGACTTCGTGAACATCAAGTACACGGCCTCGGCCTTGCAGAAAATGTTTTGTTGCCCGCTCCGAAAATTTTGCGGCTCGTTCCTACTGGGCCGCAGTGGCTAGCCAGCGTTAGCAAAGAAACGAAAAAAGGTGTGCCGCTGGTATTTTGGCAAAGCTTGGCACGTAATGGAACACCATCCACGCCCTGGTGCCCAATTTGGTTTAAACACAAATGCAGTTTTTTTCTCAGAAGAAACTGTGTTTTGTCTATCCGCAATCCTAATGCATTACCAATTGCATGTGCCCTGTATGCATCAGCGAAGTTCTCTTTACTCCACATGTATGGATTTACATCATCTGCATCAGCATTCTTTGGAGGGGAGAGGGTGGGGGGGGGCAACGTACACACACGCACACACACACACACACACACACACACACACACACACACACAGAGAGAGAGAGACATTGGAAGCCATTGGAAGCCACAGTAAACCCAATTGTTACTGTATAACCTGAATATCCCGCTCTCCTGTGAGATGTTCGTCATCATGCTGAGGGTATATAGAATCACCGCTCATCTGCCAACCGGCTAATGGATTTCTATGGTATGGTGTTGTGAAGTCACTGTTGCCACCAAATGTGAGTTGTAGAAGGCTTAGGAGTTGCCGGGAGGTCCTATGTGAACTTGTACTCCCTTGTTGTAGGTGTGTGAGGTGGTCGTGGTTTAATTCTCGAGTGTTTAAACTTACAAAGCCTTACTAACATGTTTGCAGTGCAATCGAGATCACTGATGTCTGGTTTTGAATGTTTACATTTGGCAGGCAAACGCGATTGAGGCAGCGACACAGGCTGCATGCCTTGTTCTTAGTGTTGATGAAACGATCCGAAATCCCAGGGTAAGTCCACCAACACATGCTGTACACCGTGTTTGAGTTTATGAGCTTATGTGAGGCAATGTGTGTGGCTCTCTGGTTCTATCCTAGATCTTTTTTTTTTTTTTTTTTTTTTTTTTTTTTTTGTTGGTTCTATCCTAGATGGAACAATGGTTATGTTCATTGTGAGCTTGATTAAAAGTTATTGAATGTTGGTGACGGTGAAAGGGATTCGGGCATATTTCTGTGCACAAGTCAAGATGTCCGGTCCCAGAAGAGTCCCAAGTTTCATCTCCCCATGTGCGGTAGACCTAAATAGGTAGCCCTAGCCATACAGCAGTTCCTTCGGCATGTCTGTACCCTTAGGCCGTTAGGTCAATTAGACCCAGTTAGTGGAGCTGGTGGTCGGAGTCCCAAAATACCGTGCTGGTCCTGGAAGGTCCAGCACCTTTAGGTGCATTGGTAGACAGTTGATCTTGCATTGAGCATTGAAGTAGTTGTTCATTTAGGAATAGGAGTTCAAGAATTGCACGGCTGAAGCTAGAATTGGAAGACCCAAGCTTCGGCTGATAACATACCTGAGTGTAAATCAATACGTAGGAGAGATGGTTAATGGAAGACCAAAAATTCGGTGTTTTCCCCCGCACCACCACAAGCAATGTCGCCAAAAGTTTCGTGAACAAACAATGCAGGCTCATGATTCAAACATCATAAAGACAAACAGGCAAAAAAAACAGAAAAAAGAACAAAAAAGCACTACAAAAACCTATTCGGAGGTTGCCAATTTGTTATCCGAATTCGGTGTTTTTGCCAAGTTTTTTGTTATAAAACCCTATTCGGAGTAGCTTTTTCGGAGTTCGCCAAAAAATTGTTTCGGTTGTGCTCCCCGCCTTCCCTGTTGTGGTCTTCCATCCAGGGCTATGAATATTATAAGAGGTCTTTAGTGTTTATTAACTCTCGTTGTGTGCATGGTTGTCTGTTGTCTTGTGTTGGACTTGTCTGTCCCTGCTTTTGGTTACAGTCTCAGGAGCCAGATGGTCAACCTCAAGGTGGGATGGGAAGGGGAATGATGGGCCGTGGAATGGGTGGAATGGCTGGAATGCGCGGAAGAGGTCGGGGCATGAGGCGACGGATGTGAAAGAAAGACATGATATCGCGGCTATATGCCAGTTGGGAAGTCTTTTGATTTGTCAGTGGTCATTCGGAAGCGTTTTTTGCACCAGTTCCCTCACACTCGGGCTGGTGGAGTTCAGGAGGTAGATAGCAGATAGATCGAGATTAGATGGATAGGTAATGGTGATTTCTGTAGTTGCAGTGAATTCATTTGCCATGTTTGCATGGTCCTCTTTCTACTGCCGCTTTGCAATACAGCGGAGTTCTTAGGTGGAATGCAGATGAAAACACCAGTTGAAGAGCGAGTGCATTGAAGTAAGGTGTCATCATTCGGTTTCTATTTCCATTTCTTTGTGTTTTCTGACTGTTGCAAGTGCAGCGCCGATTTGGTACGTTCTCCATTCTTGTCCTTGATAACTAGGACGGCCTTCAACTGGAAGAAAAAAGGAAAATTTGAGATGAATTCAGTTTTTACGCCATGAGAAAAGTTGTTGTGTCTGATCGTCACACGTCTGATCACCGGTTGCTGCAGAAGTATGGATCGTTATGGATGATGAAACTGACCACCGCTGGATATGTCCCAACATGTTTGACACAAAGCCTGCATCTTTGCATGGGCGGTGTGCGTATATGTGTGACCGTTGAAGATGTACGTGCTTTTGGTAATGAGCTTGTAGAAAAGAGCGCAACAGTTGAGAAAGAGGAGGGGATCAAAAGGAGCCTTTTGCAAACCGTGCTTGCTGATGATGAAGGTGGAAGTGGAACCGAAACTGTAGCTTGGAGAAGAACCTTTGTATCATGTGGCAGTGATAGGGTGCTGCTCGCACACAGCTAAGGTAAGAGTCCATCCTTTTTGCCGGATTATTTTATAGATGTGATGATTACCTCGCGAAGTATGATGCCTGCTTATCTGGTTGTGGGGTATTGTATTGTGAATTTGTGCCTCGAGATTTTGAATGAGGGAGATATAGGTGGAAGTGTATGCGACTTCGATCACGGGTGTCTTCAGTGGCCACCACTTCTGACCGTGGCGGAATGCAACGGGCCCAATGGCCAGAAGCAGAGGCTTGATGTGGCTGTGGAAACATTGCGGCCAGCAGTGTGAATGATCACCTCGTTGGTGGTGGTGTTAAACCACAACCATGGCCCCAGCCTTGCAGTCCGAAGCTTGTCGCCACAAGAAACCGAGAGAGGCTGAAACGTCAAACACCGGGCCCGCTGTTGATAAATTCGATCGGCAGCATGCCTCCAGAATTTGAGGTTTCAGACCCGTGGTGCAGGTGCCCATGTACTGGAGGCATAGCTATGCGTGACTGGACCCAGGACGGACTCTGGATGCCGGACCTCCCGGACCCATCCAGACTTCCGGGAAACCGGAATATTCCGGAATATCCGGACCGGTCGGGATCTCTGGTCCGGGTCAGCTATATTGTCAGGGCAACAAAAAAAAAAAAAGAGAAAAGAACACGCCTCTGAGAAAGGCTGGCGGAGTAGACAAGGACGGGGTGGAGGAGGGAGGAGAACGACGACAATGAGAAAGGATGGCGGAGCAGACAAGGGTAGTGGGGTTGATGAGGTGGACAGCGACGACTATGACGAGAAGGAAGTGTGCGTGTGTGTAGGAGGAGGGCGGCGGAAATGGTGGCTGCGAAATCCCCCCAACAGTTGGAAAAAAAAAAAAAAAAAACTCCCGCTGTTGGGCTGGGTCCCACACATCCGGACCACCCCGGACGGTCCAGATCCCTGTCCGGTGATCTACATCGTGGCCATGACCGGTGGTGTTAAGTGTTCTCTGCAAAACAAAATCCTGACCAATGGCAAATATGCGAGGGAACAAAGTCAAATGCCTCCAACAATGACTAAGCATCTATCTATCTATCTGTATCTTGAACTACGTCTTATATATTGGTATAACAATTAATTAATAATACTAAAGAGTTAGCAGTCAGCGAATGTACCTTAGGCCCACGGAAAATTGCTCGCATGTGGGCAGGACTGAATATGTTTGAGCCAGCAGCCCCTGGCACATTGGCTATTGCCCTGGACGTCAAAGGCCCGAATCCTGAGGAATTCGCTTTCCGTTTTGCTTCAGGCGGGCTGACTCGGCTGCATTACGCAGCTCTTCAGTGGCAGGCATGATCCGTTTTTGTCGTTTTCTGCTGGCTGTCTGAGTGCAAGTACAAAGCAGACGAGAATCTGTTCGGTCTCCCAATGGCACACCCAATTCTGGTACACTGTTCGAATAAGTACATAGGGCCTTACTCCACCAGTCACCAAGCATGCAGAATGAGAATGAATATTCCACTAGAAGAACGAAAGACGTATCGCCATGATTGTCTTCACCAAAAGATGTACGGCCATGATTTGTCTTTTGTGCATGTGGCGAGTAGTCACTAATCGCGCAAAGTGAGAATGAATATTCCGCCAGAGCAGGGAAAGATGCATCGTTATAGTTTGTCTTTTCTGCTTGTAGCGATGGGCCCATAGCAGGCTTGAATTCAAAAGTTTGAGACTGCCACGTTATCTCAGAGGATTCCAGCCACAATTGATATGTGGACACATGGGCCCACATTTTTCTGTTTTTTTTTTTGGTTTTTTGGTGTTTTGGCTTTTTGTCGTCTATGCCTCCCAGCCTGTTCTGTTTTGCTGGAGATCTTACACCTGTTTTCTCACCTTGCAGATTATCCGAACCCACATGTATCTGTCTACAGTTGATGGGCGAGGCACGCAGCTGCATGGCCGTTTTAGGCCCTCTTTTTCCTCGTTTTCTTCTGGCTGTCTGGATACGAGTACATAGAAGGCCCATATTTGGGGCAGCCGTTGCTCTCTCTCCTTCTCTCTCCCCCTCTCTCTCCTCCTCTCTCTTTCTCTCTCTGATGCACAAGGTCCCTATAGCTGTTGTTTCTCTCTCTCTCTCTTCTCTCTCTCTCTCTCTGATGCACAAGGTCCCAATGGCCGTTCTCTCTCTCTCTCTCTTCTCTCTCTCTCTCTCTGATGCACAAGGTCCCTATGGCCGTTCTCTCTCTCTCTCTCTGATGCACAAGGTCCCTCTGGCCGTTCTCTCTCTCTCTCTCTGATGCACAAGGTCCCTATGGCCGTTCTCTCTCTCTC